GCATCCCCAGCCCCCATGACCAATTCTCTGAACCTGGCCATGATGATCTTCCAAAATTTATTACATACTAAATGTAGTACAGTGAAAGAAAGGAAAACCCCACTGAAGACACCGTGTCTGTCAGTCAAGAAAACGAACATCTCTTTGTGAGAGATTAGGTTGATTGGCATTAATTAGACATTCAAACTCTTCTGCAGAGATATCATAAGATAGTACAAAACACTCAAGGGCTGAGAGGACAGATGAAGAAGAGTGGAATTTTGAGGACTTGTAGATCCTGACGTTATGTCTGCAGATGTTTGTGCTAACCCAAGTTTGAGAAACTCTGTGTTAAAGGTCAAACATGTCACACAGGCAGATCACTTGGCACCAATACAATGATTAAGAGAAATGCAAATATGTACCCTGAGTTTGAATAACAGTATGTGGTTGTATGATGGTTGACCAGGTAATCTAGAATATGCTATGTTATTATATATTTTTTAACATTTTAAAAAGAATTTTTAATTAGGCATTACAAATAAATAGAAAATAGTCAAAAAATAATGTATTATCCTAGACACATTTTTTTTTGCAATTCTTTTTCTTTTTCATTTTAAGTAAGTCGGGGATACATGTGCAGAACATGCAAATTTATTACATAGGTATACATGTGCTGTGGTGGTTTGCTGCACCCGTCAACCCATCATCTAGGTTTTAAGCCCTGCATGCATTAGGTATTTGTCCTAATTCTTTCCCTCCCCTTGTCCTCCACCCCCCGACAGATCCCAGTATGTGATGTTTCCCTCCCTGTGTCCATGTATTCTCATTGTTTAACTCCCACTTATGAGTGAGAAGGTGCAGTGTTTGGTTTCCTGCTCTTGTGTTAGTTTGCTGAGAACAATAGCTTCTAGCTTCATCCATGTCCCTGTAAAGGGCATGAAATTCTTTCTTATGGCTGCATAGCATTCCATGGTGTAATATGTGCCACATTTTCCTTATCCAGTCTATCATTGATGGGCATTTGGGTTGGTTCCAACTCTTTGCTTTTCTAAATAGTGCTGCCATAAACATACGTGTGCATGTGTCTTTATAGTAGAATGATTTATACTCCTTTGGGTATATACCTATACCCAGTAATAGGATTGCTGGGTCAAATGGTATTTCTGATTCTAGATCCTTGAGGAATTGCCACACTATCTTCCACAATGGTTGAACTTATTTACAATTCCACCAACAGTGTGAAAGTGTTCCTACTTCTCCACAGCCTGGCCAGCATCTGTTGTTTCTTAACTTTTTAATAGTCGCTATTTTAACTGGCATGAGATGGTATCTCATTGTGGTTTTGATGTACAATTCTCTAATGACCAGTGATGATGAGCTTTTTTTCATATGTTTGCTGGACACATCAATGTCTTCTTTTGAGAAGTGCCTTTTCATGTCCTTCACCCACTTTTCAATGGGTTTTTTTCCTGTAAATTTGTTTCAGTTCTTTGTATCAGCTTAAGGAATTTTGGGGCTGAGACAATGGGGTTTTCAAAATATACAATCATGTCATCTGCAAACAGAGACAATTTGACTTCCTCTCTTCCTATTTGAAGACCCTTTATTTCTTTCTCTTGCCTGGTCGCCCTGGTGAGAACTTCCAATACTATGTTGAATAAGAGTGGTGAGAGAGGTCAACCTTGTCTTGTGCTGGTTTTCAAAGGGAATGCTTCCAACTTTTGCCCATTCAAGTATGCTACTGGCGATGGGTTTGTCATAAATTGCTCTTATTATTTTGAGATATGTTTCATCAATACCAAGTTTATTGAGAGTTTTTAGCATGAAGGGGTGTTGAATTTTATTGAAGGCCTTTTCTGCATCTATTGAGATAATCATATGGTTTTTGTCATTGGTTCTGTTTATGTGATGGATTGTGTTTATTGATTTGTGTATGTTGAAACAGCCTTGCATCCCAAGGATGAAGCCGACTTGATCATGGTGGAAAAGCTTTTTGATGTGCTTCTGGCTGTCGGGTTTCTACAGAGAGATCCACTGTTGGTCTGATGGGCTTCCCTTTGTAGGTAACCTGACCTTTCTCTCTGGCTGCCCTTAACATTTTTTCCTTTGTTTCAACCTTGGAGAATGCGATGATTACGTGTCTTGGGATTGCTCTTCTTGAGGAGTATCTTAGTGGTGTTTTCTAAATTTCCTGAATTTGAATGTTGGCCTGTCTTGCTAGGTTGGTGAAGTTCTCCTGGATAATATCCTGAAGTGTGTTTTCCAACTTGGTTTCATTCTCCTGGTCACTTTCAGGTACATGAATCAATCATAGGTTTGGTCTTTTCACATAGTCCCATATTCCTTGGAGGCTTTGTTCGTTTGTTCTTTTTTCTCTAATCTTATCTTCATACCTTATTTCAGTAAGTTGATCTTCAATCTCTGACATCCTTTCTTCAGCTTGATTGATTCAGCTATTGATACCTGTGTATGGTTCATGAAGTTCTCCTGCTGTATTTTTTGGCTCCATCAGGTCATTTATGTTCCTCTCTAAACTGGTTATTCTAGTTAGCAGTTCCTGTAACCTTTTACCAAGGTTCTTAGCTGCCTTGCATTGGTTAGAACGTGCTCCTTTAGCTCAGAGGAGTTTGTTTTTACCCAGCTTCTGAAGCCTGCTTCTGTCAGTTCTTCAGTCTGTCCAGTTTTGTGCCCTTGCTGGAGAGGAGTTGCAATCATTTGGAGGAGAAGAGGCATTCTGGTTTTTGGATTTTCCAGCGTTTTTGCACTTGTTTTTCCTCATCTTTGTGGATTTATCTACTTTTGATCTTTGAGGCTGATGACCTTTGGATGGGGTTTTTGTGTGGGGGTCCTTGATGTTGATGTTGTTGCTGTTAGTTTTCCTCTAACAGGCCCCTCTGCTGCAGGTCTGCTGCAGTTTGCTGGAGGTCCACTCCAGACCCTATTCACCTGGATATCCCCAGTGGAGGCTGCAGAACAGCAAACATTGCTGCCTGCTCCTTCCTCTGGAAGCTTCATGCCAGAGAGGCACCGGCCTGATACCCGCCGGAGCTCTCCTGTATGAGGTGCCTATTGACCCCTGTTGGGAGGTTTCTCAACAGGAGGCATGGGGGTCAGGGACCCACTTAAGGAGGCAGTCTGTCCCTTAGCAGAGCTGGTGCACTGTGCTGGGAGAATCCTTGTCAGGATCAGCTGCTCTCCTCAGAGCCGGCAGGCAGGAACAATTAAATCCACTGAAGCTGCGCCCACAGGTGCCTCTTCCCTTAGGTGCTCTGTCCCAGGGAGATACGGGTTTTATCTGTAAGCCCCTGACTAGGGCTGTCACTTTTCCCTCAGAGATACCCTGCCCAGTGAGGAGGAATCTAGAGAAGCAGTCTGGCTGCAGCTACTTTGCTGCACCCATCGCAGACCTCCCAGCCTCCTTAGCACTGTCAGGGGAAAACTGCCTACTGAAGCCTCAGTAATGGAGGATCCCCCACCAAGCTCAGTCATCCCAGGTCGACTTCAGACGGCTGTGCTGGCAGCAAGAATTTTAAGCCAGTGGTTCTTAGCTTGCTGGCCTCGATAATAGTGGGACCTGTTGAGTGAGACCACTTGGCTCCTTGGCTTCAGCCCCTTTTCCAGGACAGTGAATGGTTCTGTCCCACTGGGGTTCCAGGGACCTCTGGGGTATGAAAACAATACTCCTGAAGCTAGCTAGGTGTTTGTCCAAACAGCCGCTCAGTTTTGTGCTTGAAACCCAGGGCCCTGGTAGTGTAGGTACACAAGGGAATCTCCTGATCTATAGACTGCAAAAACCAAGGGAAAAGCACAGTAGCCCAGCTGGGTCGCGCAATCCCTCATGGCTTTCCGTGGCTTGGGTAGGGACCTCCGGGTGAAATAATACCCGCCCTGCTTCTGCTCGCCGTCTGTGGGTTGGATCCACTGCCTAACCAGTCCCAATGAGATGAACTGGGGAACTCAGTTGGAAATGCAGAAATTGCTGCCTTCTGTGTTGCTCTTGCTGGGAGCTGCAGACGCCCCTCCCTCCTGCTATTATATTTTTAAGATGAATTTAGAATGAACAAAATTTAATAATTCCCATAGGGAACTTTAGAACACCTGAGCATATGTGCTTGGATTTCATCTGAGAGAAATAGATTTAGGGGGAGCAGGGGACAGAGTAATCCAAGAAGGGGAAGCAAAAGACGAGAAGGCCCTGGGAGTGGTGGTAAATCAATGTCTGATCGGCTCCTTCTGTTGTAGGAAAATCTGGGTTCTTGTCACAGACCAGGAAAGATTAGGCTTTCAGACACATAGAAGGTGAGAAAAATGGAATTTATTGGGCAAATAGGGAAAAAAAAGGAAACAGGAACTCTCAGCAAAGGGAGAGTCCTGCTAGCAGGTTTCCTGCCTCACGGATTAAAACCCAGGTTACCACCCAGGAACAGGAGAGGCCAGGCTCCTCCCCCCTGAAAATGGCTCGAACTTCCCGAGGCTTTACCAGAGTGCGCGCTTTTCCCAGTGCAAAAGCTGGTTGGAGGTTCTCCAGAGAGCCCTTTTTACTTGGTTGACTCAATTCCTTTAAGGTGAGTGGTGTGAGCCTGGGTTATTGTGGTTCTCTAATGAAAGAAGGTGACACCCAAAGACACAAGTATCTAAAGGAGAGAAGCATCACGTCTGGAAAGGCAGTTCCATTGAGTTGCCTGTAGCCAGTTCTCCTTGCCAGCCCCTCCCTCGCCCTACATGCCTCAAGAGGCAGAGAGATCTTTCCTTGATTCTCCAGAGTTGATTCCTGTGTGTTTAGGTCAAACCTGAAGGCGTTCATCTCATAAACCAGAGGGCCTCCCTGCCTCCCACAGTTGACTTGCTTAGTTCTGCCTTCCTTTTGAGCTCTTGCAAAAACCTAAGCCCTGCCTCAACTTTGTCCACTAAAGAAAGGTAGATAGATGTCCAAATGTGAGCCATCTGTGCCAGTTTAAATTTCTAGGACCCATATTAAAAAGGTAAAAAGAAACAGGTGAAATTGATTTCGTTGTTTTATTTGATTTTAATAATATATTTTGTTTAATCCAGTATATCCATAATGTCATCAGTTCAGCATGTAATCAGTGCAACAATTATTCAGGAAATATTTGGTCTTCTTTTTTCTCATACGAAGTGCTAAAAAGCCAATGTGGACTTTATACTAACAACACATCTGCATTCAGATTGGCCACATTTTGAGTGCTCAGTGGCCACACGGGGCCAGTGGCTTTGTCATAGACAAACTTCTATGGATGGAAGGCTGTTCCCTTATTCTCTCACACGGTCCTTTCTTCCTCTTTGAGCTGAGGAAGAGAAAAGAAGAAAGGGAATATTTAGTATTTACTGGGCACCAGCTACTCTTCGCTAGGTATCCTAATAGGGGACTTCTCATGTTAGTTACCTCTTAGAAACCGCTTATCTTCTTCATTTATTTATTTATTTAGAGATGGAGTCTTGCTCCATCACCTAGGCTGGAATGCAGTGGCGTGACGTCAGCTCACTGCAACCTCCCCCTTCAGATTCAAGTGGTTCTCCTGCCTCAGCCTGCCGAGTAGTTGGAATTACAGGCACACACCACCACACCTGGCTAATTTTTGTATTTTTAGTAGAGAAGAGGTTTTGTCATGCTGGCCAGGCTGGTCTTGAACTCCTGACCTCAAGTAATCCACCATCCTAGGCCTCCCAAAGTGCTGGGATTACAGGCATGAGCCACCGCATCTGGCTTATCTTCCCATTTAGACCAATAGGCAAACCATGATTCCAAATTCCAAATGTTTGGCTACATCAGTGGTATATCCCAATAAACACTGGATCCCAGAGATCAAGGTCTTTGGGGCCTAAGGGAGGTAGGAGCAATAGAGGGCAGCCTGTTTTAGCCTTAAATTAGCAAACTATGGTTTGGTTTCAGTGGTGTCTTGCCAGTCTCTTATGTCTATATAAAATCGCACAGACTAAGGGTAGGCCAAAAGCCACAGCCTTCGACAGTTCAGTGTAATTATCCTGATGAGGATTGTGTGGCCGTGAATTGTTTCCACAGGTGGCTCTTGCATCCTATCATACATCTGGCTATGTATGGTTAAAATGTCAGACACTATATATATGTACATATGTAAATATACCTGAGCTTGGTGGTCATTATCTGTAGTTTATGTTCTTAGCTAGAAATTCTATTCATTATTGTTATAATCAAGTGATTCATTTATTTTTCCATGCTAGTGAGTCTTCAACAAGCCTTCTACATTTTAGCTGTGCTCCATAATGGGCTTCTCATTTTTCAAGCAGTGGTAGCCACCCTAGTTCAGAATCCTTGGGCTCCGGTGAAAACGCTCCAGGGATGGAGACATAGATAGTCAAGTGTCATCTCAGGAAGGCAAAAGCCATTTCATTGCTTAAGAGCTTTCCATTTTCCCCTTGGTTTCCTTGGTTATGCTCAATATTTTGGGTTAATGGATGCTCCTGCTAATACGCTGACATTTTCAATCAATACATTTAGCTCCCGGCATTCTTGAAGTCAGTTCTCTATGCTGACTCTTCAGCAGCCCCTGCATTAGATTAGAACCTTTCTTCCCTCATTAATATACCAATTTTAGATACCAAACTGCAAGGTAATTTTATAAAACAATTACTTTAACCTTGGTGGCTTAAAATTTCACCAGTCATTTCAAAATCTTCTAATATTTCAAATGTCTCTATTCTTATAAAGCTACCTACAGGAAGATAATTTTTTAGGAAAACCTGGTCTGGGCTATATACCTATTCTTAAGACAAGCAAGATTTTTCATTATAGTCAAGATTGATTGACCTGTCTATCGAACAGACTGGTGTAGGATAAAGCCTTATAAATAAATGACTAGCATGGATTTTTATCTCACCACCACCTTTTATTTTAGTGTTTGAAATCATGAGTGCTAATACTATAGCTTATCATGATAGAAGCATATTTTAGACTTCTAAGTTTTAAACCTTAAATTTTCTCAGTGCATCGTAAAATAGAGCAGTGTGGTTTGCATTGACTCAAGGGGGAATTGGGGATTTTTGTTCTGGTGAAAAAGTGCCTGGGCTTGGAAATGGATGGTGGATATAGACTTAGCACTACTGTTTATAGCGTGGAAGGTCTTGGATGAGCTGCTTAAATTCAGGAACATTCGCTTAATCACCAAAAGTAAAATTTTCACATCTGTAAAATGTTAACGTATTCTTAGCACTACACAAGATGCCTGGAGTGTATTTTAGGGAGTATTAAATAATTTAAATGCGAGGTATCTTTTAAAATACGCAGATTGAAACTTATTAAAACACCACATGGGTGGCCAAGCTTGGTGGCTCACACCAGTAATCCCAGCACTTTGGGAGGCTGAGGTGAGAGGGTTGCTTTGAGGCCAGGAGTTCAAGACAAACCTGGCCAATGTAGTGAGACCCCATCTCTAAAATAAATTTTAAAAACACCAGGTGGAAATAATGGTGGTGAATAAAGCACACTAGTTGTCATTACCACATTTCTATGTAGGGACCAATGCAGTCGCCCCTACACAGTAATACACATTACACTGCACATGTCTTCTAAGTTCTTGTGTCCAGTTTCCCAGGAAATGCAAGAAGATACAGGTAAGATGAGAAAGTAATGATCCTATGAAGGCTTGTGAGTTAAAAAAAAAAAAAACTGAAAGGATTTCCATAAAAAATGAGAGAGCCTCAAGTTTTAAAGGCTGAGAGCAATAGAGAGGGAAGAGCAAGTCTGGGCCCAGTCATGGAGACACTAGAGAACCATGAAGAAAGCTATTTCTTCAAATGATGTGTAAGGAAAGAAAAGGTAGTGAAGCAAAACTGAGTCTCTGAACTCTGACTAGGGACTTGATTTTTCCAGAAAGTGTGGTAATGCTGAATATGCTCTTGGATGCCTATGATTCTAAGCTAGGTTTTGGGGGCTGTTATCAGCTAATATTTGTATCGTGTTTTTCACCTCACCAGTCATGTCAAGTAGGCATTGCCTATCCATTTTATACATTTTACATCCATTTTATAAATGGATAGACAATGGACTCAAAGATGTTAATGGCTTTAATGACACTCTGGCTGCGACTGCTTGTTGCTTATCTGATATTCACGTTTCCTTCCATCTTTAGTCAATGAGTCCTGATATTTTTCAGGGTGGCAGCCTAACTAAAAGAGTATATTTCCCAGCTAAGCATGGCATTATAACTGAATTCTGTCCAATCTGAAAGCTATCGGGTGTCACTTCCAGAAAGTCTCCTTAAAAAGGAATAGGACAAGCCTCTTTTTGCCTTCCCCCTTTTATCTTCCTGTTCCCTGGAATATAGATGTGATGGCTGCAGCCAGAGTAGCCATATTGTGACACTGAGGATGCAAACCATGTATGTGCAAGAACGGTGAAGTAGAGAGAAAGACTGATTGCCCACTGACCTTGTTAAGCTAACACATCAGCCTGGACTGACCACCTCTGGACTTTTTGTTTTGAGACTGAGTCTCACTCTGTCACCCAGGAGGCTGGAGTGCAGTGGCACGAACTTGGCTCACCACAACCTCTGCCTCCAAGGTTCAAGCAATTCTCCTGCCTCCCAAGTAGCTGGGATTACAGGAATGTGCCACCACGCCCCGATAATTTTTGTGTATTTTTAGTAGAGATGGGGTTTCACCATGTTGGCCAGCCTGTTCTCAAACTCTTGGCTTCAAGTGATCTGCCTGCCTCAGCCTTCCAAAGTGCTGGGATTACAGGCGTGAGCCACCATGTGTGGCCTCACCTCTGGACTTTTTAATAATGTCTGGAGGCTATCAGAGTTTATTAAAACACCAACTGCATTTGTGTAATCATAACCAACATAGTCACATAGCTAGGACTTGTAGAGCTGGGACTTTAAAACATCTGACTTTTGTTCTTTCTGCTCTGGACATGCATCGAGGCAGGTCATTTAAAGACAATATTATAAGTGGAGGAATAATCAAGATGTAAAACCACTCAAATAGTTCTGTAAATACTTTCTGGGGAGCATAGAAGTTACTGGTCTTATAGGAACCCTGTGGTAGAAAATTGTTTTATTTTTCAGTTCTCCATTTAGAGGTTTAAAACACATTTAGGTTTTCTCTTCTCTGGTTCAGTAACTTTCCCTCCTTATCTGACTGTTAAGTCTTGTTGAAATCTGGTCATGTGGTTGCTGTGTCTGGATTGTGAGAAATATAGAATGCAAGAAGCCAGTGTGGTCTTCTCACCCAGCCGACTAACACATGACTCATGTGTTCCAGTAAAGGTAGAGTGGGTCTGGCCACCAAAACCTGACCCCTGAGTCATTTCAATCAACTGCGAATGCCCAAGGCAGCTGCATGCATTTGCTCATTCTTTGGACGGCATATGCTAATCCTTTCTTCCTAGATTTAAACATTAGCTCATTCATGCCTGTAGTACTTGTGGTCTCTGAACCCTACTGTTCCAATGGAGTTGGGGATATCAAGTTTGCAGGCTTGGGACACTGCCAGGTGACAGTTTGCTTCATCTTTCCGTGGCCTTGTTTAATCCTTTATTACTATTTTTTTTTTGGTAGTACATGGCATTCATTTACGCACCCCTGGATGATCAAAGTTCTTGGGCAGTTAACCTGAGTCACAAGGCAAAAATCAATGGTCACTTCTTCCCTTCTCAATAGGAAATTATTATTATTATTTTGACAGAGTCTCACTCTGTCACCCAGGCTGGAGTGCAATGGCGTGATCTCGGCTCACTGTAACCTCCGCCTCCTGGGTTCCAGCGATTCTCCTGCCTCAGCCTCCCGAATAGCTGGGACTACAGGTGTGTGCCACCATGCCCGGCTAATTTTTTTTTTAGTAGAGACAGGGTTTCACTGTGTTAGCCAGGATAGTCTCGATCTCCTGACCTTGTGATCCGCCCACCTCAGCCTCCCAAAGTGCTGGGATTACAGGCGTGAGCCACCGCGCCCAGCGCACAATAGGAAATTCTTGACTTAACCCTACTAGCTTCTTTCCAGCAGTAATGCAAGAGGTTATTGAGAACAGTGTCAATAACCGTGCATGATGCGTTATTTCCTTTTCTCTTTTATTAGGCTGTTTGCTCCTTAATGCCCTTATAAAGTCATCCTCGTATTTGTGTCATTAACTCTCTGATTTCAACGCACTTCCAGGAAGATTCAGTGGGTGCTTCAATCTACTATTTTGCAAAAGTGTCTCTTCTTATGTGTCCATAAACATAACTGATCTTTCTTTCATATCTATCTGTACTAATAGTACATTTGTAGCTCATGGAATCTAGTAAGGATTATGTAAATTTCTGCCTATTAATTTTTTTAAGTCCTCCAAAATAGATAAAAGGAAAGCTTTTTATTTTCTGATGTCCCATTTAATAATTCAGTCTTCTTTTTCTGCAACTTAAACTCCATATCTATTATAATCTCTGCTTCGTATAATAGCTGTTCCCATAGATACTTCAAATTTTTTTTCAGAAGGTGAAACAAGAGCTTCCTGCAAGACACGAAGGTGAGAGAATGTTTCAACAGGCATTTCCAGTCATTGATAAGTTACTTGCTTCCTTGAAAATTCTGATTATCTTTGTGTACAGGTTTCAAATTGCAGACATTGCCTTGGACAGAGATCAGAGTCACTGTGAAAGAGAGTGAGGGGCTAAATTGATGTTAGCTAAGATTTCTGCCACAGACTCTTCAAGTTAAGCACCTTCTCTCACTGGGTGGAGAGGCTAATTTAGCTTCATAAATGATGATTTTTGCAAAACAGATGCAACGTACAATGAATTTCACTAGTTTAGAAAGCCAGTTATTATGTACCTTGTGTTTTAAAAGTTCCAAGAAAAGGAACCATTAACCATCTTACTTTTATCAATCAACATAATTGGATTAAAAACAAAATGAAATTTTCTGAGTAATCAGTTATAACAATTGCTCTGTGATTTGTGAAATATGAGTGGGCTGTTGAGAAATACACTCTCTGGTTGATGGACCGTATATTGTACTAGCTGTTCCTTAAGGCTGCTCTTCTGAGAGCAAATCTATTTGCTGAAAGAAATGGACTGAAATGGGAAACAAATTGGGCATTAGAAGGCGCTAGAATTGTGAATGTCAGTCTGGAATTGAAAACATATAATTCAGAAACATGCTTATTGGGAAGACAGACAAAGCATGAGGTCATAGGAAAGAAGGGCAGAGATGGGGAATAAATGATTAATAAAAAGCTTCTGAATGCTCTGTGGAACAACCGAGTCCTTTCAAAGATCACTTTTACTTAACTTTCCAATGGGGGTGTGGGCCAGCCCATAGGCATTTTAGAAAATTATAAAGTTTGCATTCATTTTTTTCAAAATTAGTATTTCTCCTTGTTTTTCATTGCCTCTTGCTGAACATTCTCTATGGTATTATTAGAACTCCTATTAAAAACAAAATGAAACCTCTTTCCAGCTCATGCCATTTCACCCCTGTACCACCTTCTGTCTCTTCTGCTGACCTCCTGGTAACGCCCCATCATTCATGGAAGACTTGTGCACCTACTCACAGTCTTCCTTCTCACCCCAAAACATGTTGTCATCCTGGGTAGCTTCAACATAGTAATTAGCTATACTATTTTGAGGACTACCACTGAGGCAGGATAATAGAGAGTGAAGGCAGGGAACCTAAGAATTTCCTAGAACTAAATCAAACAAAAACACTTCAGCTATGACAGGAAATAGCCTCTTCATTTACATAGGGCATACAATGAGTAAATGACTGATATGGTTTGGCTGTGTCCCCACCCAAATCTCAACTTGAATTGTATCTCCCAGAATTCCTATGTGTTATGGGAGGGACCCAGGGGTAGGTAATTGAATCATGGGAGCTGGTCTTTCCCATGCTATTCTTGGGATAGTGAATAAGTTTCATGAGATCTGATGGGTTTATCAGGGGTTTCTGCTTTTGCTTTTTCCTCATTTTTCTCTTGCTACTTCTATGTAAGAAGCGCCTTTCACCTCCTGTCATGATTCTGAGGCCTCCCCAGCCATGTGGAACTGTAAGTTTAATTAAACCTCTTTTTTAAAAATCAGTTTTGGGTATGTATTATGTGTATATGTATGTGACAACGAACTAATACAATGACTTTGTAACTTTACTTCATCCTCTTCATTTACATAAGATGTACAACAAGTAAATAACTTTGTAATTTCACTTTAGCCTCTTTGTTTACATAGGGCATACACCAAATAACCACTGGAAACCTCTAGAGGGTATTTAAACCCCCGAAGATTCTGTAACTGGGCTTTGGAGCTGCCTTCTCAGGCTGCTTCCACCCTGTGGAGTGTGCTTTGTTTTTCAATAAATCTCTGCTTTTATTGCTTCATTCTTTCCTTCCTTTGTTTGTGTGTTTTGTCCAGTTCTTCGTTCAAAACGCCAAGAACCTGGACACCTCCACCAGTAACATCATCTGATATTCACCCTCGTTCTAACTTCCTTCTGAAAAACGACCTCTTCCCCCACTCTTAGTTCCTTACTGCGACTTGCAGCATTTATCACTGTTGCAGTCTCACATCTATTTCATGTGACTCTATTTTCTGGCTTCCCCACTAGAGTGTCAAGTGAGCCTTATAGAGGAGGAGCCCATATTTGGTTTTTTTTCCCATTTTATCCCCAACACTGATTACAGTGTCTGGCACATACTCAATAAATACTTACTGATTGAATGAGTGCATCCTTCATCACAAAGCATAATGCTAATATAGAGAAGTCTTGACAATTCAGACTGACTGGGGGAAAAGCCTGTCTGATGATATACAACAGATTGGAATTTTAATTTTAAAATAAACAGTTGATGATTATAAACATGCAAGTACCTTCAGTGTGTGACAGGTCAAGCCTTGGGTAAAATGGTGAAGCAGACATCAATCTCCCTTTTTTGTTTTCTTCACACTCTTCCTCCTCTTCAAGGCCTTGTAGTCTTGTCATTTTTCTAGGCTATCAAGACCTGCAGGGTGTGACAAGAGTTGCTGAAACATCAGTATGTACTTCACTCAAGGTCTTCCATCTTGCTTGGCCATTTCCACTATGTCTTTCTTGTTCAGAAAGGGAAAATTTTCAGACCTATGGAGAAGTCTATGTGGAGAAGAACTGAGGCCTCAGGCCACCAGGCATGTGTTAAGTCATCTTGGAAGAGCAAAGGTAGCTGTCTACTCTGGGCTTGTGTATTAGTCCTGTGTTTCTGATGCTTTCACATTTCCAAGCCTTGCTAACCCTAGAGGGACAGCCCTTCCCAGGGCTAGTCAATTTTTAGATAGTGAAGGGCTCACCTACCTACAAGTGTGTCTTTCAGATACAAACCAACCAATTCAAAGCCTCTGCCCTCAACCATTTCCTTTATGGAACTCTTACACTCTGTGTGGTCCTGAGTGGCATGGCATCGCCCGTCTTCTTTGGAAGTATAACCAACCATCTTTTCAATGGCAATCATCTCCTGATCTGTTGGCCTCACTATATCTGATTAATAATAAACCTACATTTGAAAACAGTGTGTCGACTAGAATGTTTAGTTAGGTAAGCATGACTTAGTTGAGGGTGAACTAATCAAGTTCCTTAGGGACACAAAGAAGAGCCATGTACATTCATCTCTGAGTGGAGAGGCTTATGGCCAAACTACAGGATAACAAAGGAGTCTACGGAAATCACCACGTCATCCCGCAATCATCTTAAATCCCTTTGCTTTGAGATGAAGATGCAAATAGGATTTCATGGAGAAGAAGTGAAGTATCTGAGGGATTCCCAGAGAAAAACCAGGTGCAAGGCCTGAAATGTAGGAATTCACTCAGGTGGTGACCGCAGACATGATCAACGCCACAAAGGCCAAGGGTGGATTTGTGGCAGAAAGATCCTCAGACATGCCTTCAATTTCTCCTACCACCTCTCAAGCCACCCACTTATCTAACACTCTTCAATGTGCACAACTGTCATTATCTTTTAAAAAAAATAAATTATTTCATTTTGAAACAAACACAAACTTACAGAAGAGTTGCCAGAAGAATACAGAACTGTTTTTCCCTTAACAATTTCCCTGAACCAGTTTCCAATCTGATGTTCCAATCCTCCTGAATCCTATTAAAAAAACATTTTCCTACACAACCACAATACAACCATCCACATCAGGAAATTAGCATTGATACATTACCTGCAATCTGCAGACGCCAACTAAGTTTCAACAACTATCCCAGTAATGCCATTTATCTCAAAAGGATCAGTGCAGAGTCACATGAGGAACTTGGTTGTCATACCTTCTCCATCTCCCTCAGCTGAAACAGTTCCTCAGTCATACTCTTCATTCCATGGCTTGGACACTTTTGAATATTATAGGGCAGTTGTTTCATCGAATGCCTCTTGATTCAGGTTTTTCTGAGTTTTCTCATGATTCGATTCAGATGGGCATTTTCTTAGTCATAGGGAATGTGAGCATAAAAACACCTTCAGCAGCCTTTGCTATTTTTTTTTTGTTGATTTTTTTTTTTCTTTTTTAGAGACAGGGTTTTACCATGTTGGTCAGGCTGGTCTTGAACTCCTGACCTCAAATGATCCACCTGCCTCGGCCTCCCAAAGTGCTGGGATTACAGGCATGAGCCACCACACCCGGCTAGCCTTTGCTATTTTTAATGACCTATAGCAAACAAGTGTGTATTTGTTGGGCAAAGTGAGTCCCTGGGAGGTGACTGTTTTCAGAATAAGGTGAAGTGTATACATGTTTACATGTGTATACAGTGGAGAAGTGTACATAAGTGAGTGTGCATGTACTCACACATATCCACTCAAGCAGTAATCAATGAAGGAGCCTATTCAGGACTCGGTACTGCGGGAGTTGATTATTTAGAGATCGAAGAATCCTCACTAAACCTATATCTAGTAGTCTGTTAGTTGACATGAGGGATGTGAAGAATATTTTATTGGCAAAATGAGTGGTGGTCATGAAAAATGATTGGGGATAATCTTCAAAATGCACCACTGTTTAGGTCTAACAGTTTAATTAAATTATTATTATTACTTTTTGAGACAGAGTCTTGCTCTGTCACCCAGGCTGGAGTGCAGTGGTGCGATCTTGGCTTGCTGCAACCTCCGCCTCCCATGTTCAAGCGATTCTTGTGACTCAGCCTCCCAAGTAGCTGGGATTACAGGCACGTGCCACTACCTCCAGCTGATTTTTTGTATTTTTAGTAGAAACGGGCTTTCGCCATGTTGGCCAGGCTGGTCTCAAACTCCTGACCTCAGGTGATCTGCCCATCTCAGCCTTCCAAAGTGCTGGGATTACAGGCGTGAGCTACCACATCCAGCCAGTTTAAAACAGCATGTGTAGTTCTTGAGGTCTTGAGATGCAATGGCCCATGGCTCTCCTCTTCTCAACAGCCCCTGACTATCAGTAGAGTCTATCCAGTCCTGCTGCCCAAACATCTCTGTGTTCGCTTCAGAGTGAGCCTCTCACATAAGATGCTAGTCGGTGTATTCTGGGGGAGAGTGGGCAAACCCTGTACTATGGAACAACGTGGTGGTTTTGTGTGCCTTCTTGCTAATAAGTATTTATGGGTTTGGCAGACCTTGTTCTGCCATGGTAAGAAGACTGACAGCTCACACTACCAGGCATAAGTTAAATGAGACCACAAGGAAACATACCGATAAATCTATTATGTAGAACAAGGCAGTTCAAATGGACTCTTTAGATAGTTGATGTCAGGAAAGGAAAAGTGGGGAGGAGTGTTATGGATTGAAATTAAGGTAACATAATGTCCAAATATTTCTATGAACCATGATTAGATTCGAGTTGAAAAACAGCTATGAAATCCAAAATATCAGGTAATTAAAAAAAAAAATATGGTCGGGCACGGTGGCTCACGCCTGTAATCCTAGCACTTTGGGAGGCCAAGGCAGGTGGATCATTTGAGGTTAGGAGTTCAAGACCAGCCTGGCCAACATGGTGAAACCCTGTCTCTACTAAAAATACAACAATTGGCCAGGTGGTAGTGGCTCGCACCTGTAATCTCAGCTGTTCAGGAGGCTGAGGCAGGAGAACTGCTTGAGCCTGAAAGGTGGAGGTTGCTGTGAGCTGCGTTCATGCCACTACACTTCAGTGTGGGCAACAGAGTGAGACCCTGTTTCAAAAACAAAAAAAACACAAGTTTTATTTTTACATAATTTTTCTTACAGAAAAGTTGCAAGAATAATACAAAGAATGGCCATATAAACTCCACTCATAATTTCCAAGTGTTAACATTTTACCATATTTACTTTTTCCTTCTCTCTCTCACACACATATATACATGTATACACACACATTTAATATGTACATTTATAAATTTAATTTTTTTCCTGAACCATTTTGAAGTCCACTACAGGCATGCTTCTTTCCTTTAAACGCTTCAGTGAAAATTTCTAAGAAATAAGGACATTCTCTTACATAACCACACAAATAATCATTAAAATCAGGCAATGTTCATGGACATTATACTGTTATCTAATCTATAGGCCTTATTCAAATTTTGCGAATTGTCCCAATGTACTTTACAGGAAAAGAAAATTTCAGATCTTATAAAGCATTCAGTTGTCCTGTGTCTATAATCTCATTTAATCCTAAATACCTTCTTCATCCTTCTTAGCCTTCTGCAACATGGACATTTGTGAGTACAGCTTAGCTATTCTGTATAATGTTCTTTAGTTTGAGTTTGTCTGTTTTCCCATGATTGGACTCAGGTTATGCATTTTTGGCAGGAATAGCACAGAAATGATGTGTTCTGTGACCCAGAATGATCATACTGTGGGTCACATTTATGTCAGTTTGTCCCATTTCTGGCGATGCTGAATTCAATCACTTGATTAAGGTCTTATATGACAAATTTCTCTACTATAAAGCTACTTACTATTTTCCCCTTTGTAATTAATGAACATCTTGTGATGAAAAACTTTGAGACTCGGTAAATATCCTCTTACTCCTGGTGCTAGGCAGGATGGCCTCCCAAAGATGGCCATGTCCTAATCCTAGAACCTGTGCAATTGTTAGGTTACATGGCAAAGGGGGATAAAAGTTACAGATGGAATTAAGGTTGCTAATCAGCTATGAGGAAAATTATCCTGGTGGGTCCAAGGTAATCACAGGGGTCCTTAAAAGTTCATGAGGCCGGCAAAAGAATCAGAGTCAGAGAAGGAGTTATGACAGAAACAAAATCAGAATTATGCAAAGTGAGAAGGATTTGAGCCATCATTGCTGGCTGTGAAGATGTAAGAAGGGAGTCATAAGCCAAGAAACATGAGTGGCCCTTTGTTTGAAAATGTGGATTTTATTATTATTCAGATACAGTGAGGCCAACAGACCAGGAGATGATTTCTGTTGAAAACATAGTTTGTTATACTCACAGATCCGAAGAGTAGGGACATGCCAAATTACGGGGGCTATATGAGGAGGCACTGGGGTTGGTCTATCAGTTCGTTCTCACACTGCTATGAAGAAATACCTCAGGCTTGGCAATTTGTAAAGAAAACAGGTTTAATTAGTTCATGGTTTTGCAGACTGTATAGGAAGCATGATGCTGTATCTGCTCAGTTTCTGGGGAGGCCTCAGGAAACTTACAATCATGATGGAAAGGGGGAGTAGGCATGTCACGTGGCCAGAGCAGGAGCAAGAGAGTGAGAGAAGAGGTGCTACACATTTTTAAACAACCAGACCTCATGAGAACTCACTATCATGAAGACAATACCAAGGGGGATGGTTCTAAACCATTAATGAGAAAACTGCCCCCTTGATCCAATCACCTCCCACCAGGTCCCAACTCCAACACTGGGGATTACATTTCAATATGAGATTTGGGCAGGGACACACATCCAAACTATATTAGTTGGTCAAAAGGCAGAGAGTGCAAGGTGGAAACGTGGGCAAGAGGCTTTATTGTGGTTTTCATGGGAAGAAATGGGTGAGGCAGTGTAAGCAGATTTAGACTGGCTAGTTTGGATCATTTCAGTGAACTCTGAGGTGTAAGAGCTGACTCTAGTGTCTGGTACCTGGCCTGGGTGATTGAGGCAGTGTAGTGGTGGCTCAGTGTCAGAACTCAATAGATGAGGCCGTTGTGGGTATGGGCTTTAGATTAGCTGGTTTGCATTAGAAAGGCACACTTGCAGTCAAATCCTCTACTATCTCTAGGGATTAGCTAGCCCTTGGAAGAGCTCCAGGGTCAGCAAGCCCCCAAGATAGCAAAGCATTGAAAATACAGAAAATACGAATGCACATTTGTTTTTGTTTTTGAAACGGAGTCTCACTCTGTCACCCAGGCTGGAGTGCAGTGACTCGATCTTGGCTCACTGCAACCTCTGACTCCCGAGTTCAAGAATTCTGTCTTACCTCCTGAGTAGCTGGAATAACAGGCATGCGCCACCACACCCAGCTAATTTTTGTATTTTTAGTAGAGACAGGGTTTCATGATGCTGGCCAGGCTGGTCTTGAACTCCTGACCTCAGGCGATCCACCCGCCTCAGCCTCCCAAACTACTGGGATTACAGGCATGAGCCACTGCACCCAGCCTGAATACACCTCTAGAAGTTGGAAATGGCAAGGAAAGGGCTTCTTCCCCAGAGTCTTCAGAAAGGAATACAGTCCTGCTAACATGGTGGCATTGGCCAGGGGAGACCTACATTGGATTTCTAACCTACAGAACTGTGAAATAATAAATTTGCATTGTTTTAAGCCACAAAATTTGTGGTAAGTTGTCACAGTAGTAGTAGGAGTTTCCTCAAGCTTCCATCCGCTAATCTTAGTATCCATTGATGATTCTTGCCTAAATCAATTATTATGACAGTAATTTTTATCTCATTATTCCTTCTACTTAATAGATGGTTTTCTATTATAAGGACAAGCCTTTTTCCCCTTGCCTTTCCCCACCATTTATTATATAAATATGGACATACAGGTCCTTCTTTGTTCAATGGGCTATATTCCTTTATTTTCATTATTCATTTTGATGCTCACATTTTTCCTGATTTCATCAGTAGGAACACCTGTAAGCTGGCTTCTGTGTTTTTGACATGTCAGTTGGAAAATTTGCATGTGAAGGCCATGTAATGGAATTATTTTATTAATCTTCTTAAGTATGACAATGGTATTAAGGTTATATAGCAGAATGTCCTCTTTCCTTGGGAGATATATTTAGGGGTGAAGTGTCATGATATTATTTGCAACTTACTTTCAAATGGGTCAGCAGCTCCAAAAAGGTGACGTTTTTATATGCTTTGTGCATATATGTCTGTGTGTTTGTGTCTGTAGTGAGAGAGAGACTTAGTGAATTTGGCAAAATGTCAAAATGATCAAATCTAGGTGGAGGATAACCGAGTGTTTATTGTGTTACTCTTTCAATTTTTCTGCATGCTTAAAATTTTTTACAATAGATTTTAGGGAAAAATAATGCAAACAAAGAAAAATCACCTTATAAACAGCTGATTCATTGTTCTCAGAATATAGTTGTGCATACAGCATACACTTCATGATCTTTCCCTTAGGTCCAGGTACAAGAAGAATAATTTTTTTAATGAATATTTTAAAGTGTCAGCTTAAATCTGGCTTCTGTGATTTAATTAAATAGAAAATTTGCCCATAAAGTGCCTGAAAGCGATGACCTCATTAAAGTATATAAACGCTGTTCCTCAGATCTCATTTACACTTTTTTATTTGTTCTTATGGGCAAAGTTATTTTATAATCCAATCCCTGTCTAAATCACCATAAGTTTTAGATTAGCAATGACCCATAAAGGGAGTTTTAATATGTAGTTTATAGAAATCCACATTCCAATGAAAATCTAACCAAGGGGGAATGAAAATGCAATGCAAAGCTTATTAAATTTGAAGTTTCTTCTACCCAATTTTTCAGAGCTTTTTATACATGCCTCATACGTTTATAATCATTGAAGTTTGGCAGGTACAGAGAGCTGATATGAAGTATTCCAAGAAAACTGATAAAGGAACCATCCAGACAGACGGCTGCCCTGTGGTAGCTTTAAAATAGGTCAACACATTCTTTGAACCTTCTCCCCTTCAAGCATGGAGACTTGTTCTCTTCCACTTGAGCGTGGG